AAACTATCTTATATTCTATAGTAACTATTTACATGTTTCTCTCCACCTCACCTTCCCCAGATTCCTCAAGGAGAAGAACTGGTTCTGATCCACTGTTACCTTCTTCATTTAGCTGTGGCAGGCACATTATAGACATTCAGTGTCTTTGTTGAAAGAAAAAACCTGCATAGACATATATGATCCCAAATTCCTCTTCTTCTGTTACATTAATTTTCCACTCTGAAAGAAGCATTCTCCTCACTAAAAACAGCATCCTTTTCTACTCCAGTCTTTACCATCCAGTGTTCACATCCAGAGCTCTGTCCTTATTAACAGATATAGCCATTAACTTTTATTTTTTATGTTCAGTAATTATTTTATTAGTAATTAGTTTCGATCAAGCTTTCACTAATTGTAATAACTTAATCCAGCATATTTTCTTTTTCATTTAAATTTATAAACATTTTTGTAGTGGAGAAGTATGGTAGCATGATTATTAAAATGTGTTCAAGCATGAAAGTATATTACATTAAAATAAAATTAAGTGGAATGGAAATAGAGGTCTAGGGAGAAAAAGGAAAATATCTAACTAAAAAATAAATTCTTCCTTTTATAAGTAATGGATGATGGTAGCTATCAAACTGCTATGATATTTAGATTATATTTGATACACTTTTTTCAAAAAAAAATTTATTTATTTTAGAGAAAGGGAGAGGGAGAGATGGAAACATCAATGAGAGAGAACATCAATTGGTTGATGTTGAGCATGCATGCCTCCCCCCAACTGGGGATCAGGCCCACAACCTGGGCATGTGCCCTAACCAGGAATAGAACCAGTGACCTCTTGGTGCATAGGTCAACACTCAGCCACTGAGCCATACCAGCCAGGCTGATACATTTTTTAAAGACTGATATAAAAATTATTTTTAGTTCAGCTGGTGTGGCTCAGAGGTTGAGCATTGATCCATGCACCAAGAGGTTGCCAGTTCGATTCCCAGTCAGGACACATGCCCAGGTTGTGGGCCTGATCCCCAGTGTGGGGAATACAGGAGGTGGCTAATCGATGTTATCCCTCATCAGTGTTTCTCTCTCTCTCTCCCTCTCCCTTCCTCTCTCTCTAAAATCAATAAAGGAAACACAATTTTTTAAAATTATTTTTAAGTATGCTGGAAATTATATCCTTTATCACTAAACTTATAACAAATTTATGTCACTTTAGAAACATGTAATGGAATACATAGTTTTTCTACCTAGTTTTTCAAAATCCCTGGAGGTTATGAAAGCATAAAATTTGAAGACCACTGATATATATTCTCAAGCTTCAGAAACAGGCTTTAGTGCTCTTGTCTAGTCCCACACCCATAATTTAGTTTGGTTACCAAACTAAATCACCCTAGAGATTAATTTACGTTATCAACATGTGTATGACTGATTTAAAGTAGTAATCCTTCCTAGACTTAAGTGTCTTTCAACTCTCAGTCCTACAGCTTAGTAAAATATTTCATGATAAAAATTTGGTTTTCCTCCATATTCTTCTAATTTTAGACATCCAGCTCAAATGGCTATGACAGGTTTGCTTACTTTGTCATGACTTTGAAATGCACTACCCATCTAAAACCATTATCTCTAGGAGAAATTACAAACTAAAGGAACCATGGGGGAAAAGCAAGCAGCAGATTATTTTCTAATTACTCAGACCAAGAGCTTCAAAAAATGATTAATTGACATTGCTTTCCCTCTAAGAAGTAAAAGTTTGGGTTCTATTAATGTTAAGAATTTTATTTTATCTGCAGTTTAATGTTTTCTCTTAAAATATGCCTTCAAGGGCTGTATTATTTTATTTTAGTTAATCCTCACCTTAGGATATTTTTCCTTTTTTAGATAGAGTGGAAAGAGAGGAGGGAGAGAGAAAGAAACCTGTATATGAGAGAGAGACACTGATTGGCTGCCTCCCACACAACCTGTCTGGGGCCAGGGATCAAACCTGCAAACCCAGGTTCATGTCCTTGTTGGGGAATTTAACCCTCAGCCCCTCGATCCGCAGGCCTATGCTCTAACCACTGACCCAAATCGGCCAGGGCAAAATCTGTATCATTTTAAAGTCTGGCATAATATTCCATTGTATGGCTGTTCCATAATTTAACTTTTGACACATTGCTGAACATTTTGCTGTTCAATGCAATGCATTAATGAACAGTTATTTTTACATCTTTATATACCCATGCTTTGTTTCTCTAGGGTTCATTACTATTAGAATTTTGGGTCCAAAAAAACTGCATATTTAATTTTAGTAAATACTACAAAATATTAACAGCTACTACAAAATATCCCTCTGAAAGAGTTATACCAACCCACCCACCCAATAACAAAGAGCTCCCATTTCTCTATACCTTCTCTAACTGCAGATACTATCAGGTTTCTTACTTTTTTGCAATTTTGAAAGACATAACCTACACACCAAAATGAGAATGATTTTTAATGAGGCCGTAGTGACTTTCACACTTAAATTTCATTACCAAGACCCCCAGCATTCCTAAATCCTCTTCAAAATATCTCCTAGCATTCTATTCTCTCCCCTCACTCTAGCCTGTAAGCTCCAAAAGGGCAAAGTTTTTGTTTGTCTGTTTTCTTCACTAATGACCAGTACCTGGGCACATGGTAGAGAGTTATTTATTGAACTGAATGACATAGCAGTTGTATGATAAGCATGAATATCAGACATAGCTAGTTATCTGTCTCCAGTGTTGCACACACCTTACCAACAAGAATGTATCCTTAGAGCAGGCCTCAGCTCCTTGGAACCTGTTATACCAAGACAAAAGACCCATGTTTGGCTATTAACAGGCTATCTGGAGAAGGAAATAAATGCTCCTTCCTACTCTGACTCCCTAGGCAGTTGATTATCAAGACAATGTAGCCTTGCCAGTGTGGCCATCCAGCTACCACCATGCTTGTTTTAGCCCTTCCCTTCCAGTTTCTCTCCTGTCAATGCCTAGGGGGACCTAAGAACAAGAACCAACCCTAGTAAAGCAGACACTCCACCCAGGCAAGTGATGGCACTAATGTTCCCCACACCAGGCCTTTGGCCCCACACCCTTTCCCATAATAATGGCAGCTTAGTCAAACAGGGAACTAAGGTTTGTTAGAGCACCAAGTTTCACTGTTTTCCTCAGGCCAGATTTTGGCTGTGAAAGAGGTATATAGACCAGAGAAAGCAAAATATATTGATTGAATTCTAAGTGGTTGGTATTACTAATCTATAGAACAGCCAAGAGTTTAGTATTGATAAACCCACCAGTTTAGCATTTTGGAGATATAAAAATGTTTAGCTATTATGTATTTCCTTCACATTTATCAACATTAGAATGTATACCCTTCCTTTCAGAAGCAATGTCAGATTAGGCTCAAATAAGGACCCAACACATATCTTGTGAGATCTCTAATGGAGAGGCTACATGTTTTTAGTATATGTTGATTAATCAGGGATCTGCAACGTTATTAGCCTTCAACTAGTGATGAGTTGCTTTATTCTGGTCCATTTCCTACTTTATCATCATTCCCAGACAGAGCAACACTTTTATTAGGCATGTCAAAAGTAATAGAGTGGGAATAACTAAGACTAGGAGAAGCTTCACTTGATTACAACTCATTTGCAGTGAGTGGGTGGTTAAGGCAGGCACCAAGCCAGCATCACCACTTTATAAATAATAACTCTTTCTTCTGTGGTGCTGATGTTGTGAAAGAGACATGGTTAAGGTTGCATCAGTATGACGAAACATCACAAAATGGGTGGGACTGTCTGGAGAAGCATCTGTTTGGAAAGGAATCTACAACACCTTGAATATACAGCATAGTTGTAATCTGGGATGTAACAGTGGGAACAAATGTCATCGGCCAGAGATGGCATACATGCTGGGATATTCATAACAGAATACTCATAAGAGTATTTCTTGGGCTCAGCAATTAGAGCGTCGGCCTGCAGTCCAGTGAGGCCTGGGTTCGGTTCCCGCTGGGGGCACGTACCTCGGCTGCAGTTTGTCCCCGGCCCTGGTTGGCTGTGCGGGTGGCAGCCACTCAATGTGTCCCTTTCACATCGATGTTTCTCTCTCCCTCTCCCAATCTATCTTAAAAAATGGAAAAATGTCCTCGGGTGAGAATTAAAAAAAAAAAAAGTATTTCTTGGGCTGGCCAGTGTGGCTCGGTGGATTAACCATCATCCCATGGACTGAGAGGTCCTGGTTCGATTCCCAGTCAGGGCACGTGCCTGGGTTGTAGGCTGGCTCGTTGGGGGAGGAGGGGGGCATGCAGGAGGCAGCCAATGTTTCTCTCTCCTTTCCTCTAAAATAAGTCCATGAAAACGTATTTTTTAAAAAGACTATTTCTCAATACTTCAGCATGTTGTGTGTCTGTATTGAGGAAAATAGTAAACTGACAATTTCACCTGTTTGCTACTTCCTTACAACTTGGGAGCTGTGCAGCCAGTAACTGGTCCTTAGGATTCCTTTTGTCATTACAGCAACAGTTAAAATAGAAAACAGCTACTATTGAGAGGAGTATGTTAGGAAATGTTTACCTCCTACCTCATCCTTTCCCAACTACCTCTTACCACCTCCCAAATGGCCGTTATTTATGTCACCCACCGTTCAGGGGAGATGTTATCGGTAAACCAAGGTGGCTGCACACAATTGCCTTTGTTTTTCTTCAGCTGATAGCTAGTAATTTTCTTTAAAAAAAAAAAAAAAAAGGCACTATCCCTAGGAGGGAGAAATTTTTAGAATATGCAGACTTCCAATTAACACCACTATAGACCAGTGAAAGTTGACAAAATCTAGATGCTTTATATGAACTATCTCAACATTGTTTCAATTATAAGATCCACAGGAAATTAAGGGGGAAATTGTATGATAGGTAGTTCATTTTTATAGGAATTGTGATTTTCTTCAGTTACAATGGAAATTTCTCAAGCAGTATGTTGGGAATTCATTCTTGAATAATACTAATAATTGATTTCTCATTTGAAGGAAAACCTGTACCAGCAATTCAGCCATGGCAGAAGTGAAGTCCATGTTCAGGGAAGTCCTTCCAAAACAAGGTATTTAAATCACAAATTCTTAGGTGACAATATTATAGGACCAGAAAGTAAAAGGCAGTGTCCCATAGTAGGCTCAACTAAAAATTTGAAACTACTTTGGTGTTCTGTATCCCACATTTACTGTCCATTGCTACTATGCTTCTTTCATGAGTAGGTTGTAAAAGAGTAATCCATCACTTTATTTTTTTCCAGTGAAGGGATGACAAATGAAGCACTGTTTCTTAAACCTAGAAATCCTGTTATATATACTCAAGATTACAGGTTACAATACAAAATTGTCCATAAGAGCACTGTAATCCACCATAATATTAAGTTATGAATGTGTGTAAAAGGAAACCTAAATCAAGTAACAGTAAGAAATACTAAAGGTTTCAGTTAAACATTCAGTAATTTGAATATTCGTGTTAAATTAATACCATACTTCACTATGTATTTTTAGGCACTATACAAGTATTTTTAGGTACTGTGAATTTCCCCAAAATCTTTTCAAATTAAACATTTGACACAAAAAATCATGTCAAAAAGTTCTGGTAGCTTAGAATCTTGGGAAGTTGGAAACTTGTCTTCCTCATGAACTCCCTAGTATTACATGCTTTTAAGGTTTTATATATTGAAGAAATGTTACAGGAGTAAACTATGAGAACAAGATATTTTCATTAACAATGGATTAAGTTTTTATTTTAGATCTTCACTCTGACTACAAATCCAAACCACCAAATAACTGGTTTATCCCAAATTCTTATTTCTTTTTAAACTTAGGGCAATTATCTGTGGAAGATATAACCACAATGGTGCTGTGTAAACCCAAACTTTTACCTTTAAAGTCTCTGACTTTGGAGAAACTGGAGAAAATGCAACAAGCAGCACAAGAAACAATTCGCCAACAAGAAATGGCAGAAAAGGAACAGCAGCAAATAACTCACTAATAACTCAGTACTTCTGTAGAACACCCTACCTTACTGTTAACAGTAGCTAGAAAAGATTCCACCTGTATGCTGAAAATATGTTAAAACTGATATTCATGTAGATAATATAAAAATAGCCAAGACTAATGAAATTTGTATGGTGAATTGAAACACTCTAGTTGTATTGACTATATATGACATTAAAAACTAACCCAAATCTTATGGTTTTGTTTTTGCTCTTTATACCCAAGTTTTTAGAACTGCAAATTAAATTAGTGTTCACCATTCCTATTACTCTTTTATAGATAACATTCTTAGGCAACAAGTGACTAAATGCAATTTTTCCAAGAAATCTTTACATATTTACTAAAAACTGTATTTAAAGATATTTTAATCTTGCATTAAGTATGCACGCTGGGCTTTTACATTACCTAATTTTTAAACTTTTTATGAATTTGATGTGATCTATCATGTTTAAGGCCATTTTTCCTGACCAGCTGATTCTACTACTGACAAAACTCTATTTCTTAAAGTAAATAGAAACTACTGTGGTGGTATTTCATCTTTTTTTTTAATCCTCACCTGAGGATATTTTATCAGATGGGGTGGGGGAGGGGAGAGAGAGATCAATTGGCTGCCTCCCTCAACCAGGGCCAGGGTTCAGAACTGCAACCCAGGTAGGTACTCTTTGGTCCTTGGGCCCGATGCTCTAACCACTGACATAACCAGCCAGGGCAAAATAAACTTCGTTTTAAGAAACCCTCACCTAAGCTTCTAATTATACTGATTTTAAGGACTTAATGAATTACTGGCTATCTTTATCATTCATGTTTCAAAACCCTAGAAATGGAAAGTAATGTTGACTTTTAAAAGAGCTCACGAGGTAAACATGAAATTCAACTTGTAGTGATAGTTCTAAGACTGTACTGAAACCTGTAACAGGTATATTCCTAAAACTACCTCTGTAAATTCTGAATTCTTGGTTGGTTGGCTGCAGTCAACAACACAATATAAATTAAGGCCTTGCTGAGTAATTAAGGCTCTGCAAAAGAGGTTAGAAATGTGGTCATTCTTAAATAATGATTTATTGGTAGCTACTATTTTTCTCAGACACTGAATAAATGCAAAACTTTGAGTCTCTGAAGAATAATTTGTTGTAACAAACATTTGCTAATAGAATTTACGAATGATGAGAGGTAGTGTGTATTTTAGAAATTTCATTAGACTATAGATAAAATGTTTTAAAAGTATATATGGGGTTCCCAAGTATAATATTAAAAGAAATTATTTCCTATTGTACTTTTGATTTAGAAGTTTGTAAGAAACAAAGTTTAAAATTCACTAGGTTCAAATGAACTCCAATGATTTTAAATTTACTTTGTGAAATAAAACTATTTTTTAAAAACCTAAAATAAATGTACTCTCAATAAAGAATCAACACTGCTTCACATGTTTTATTTTGTCATACATTCTTCTAGAACCGGGTTCATTTTTCCAGTTTTGTAGAAAAATAGATGTTCCAGCCACCATTTACTTAACTGTCTAGTCTTTAAGACCAATCAATGTTCCCTGGAAAGATGAATAAGTCTCATGACTAACTCATTTTCTTAAAATTCTTTAAGACAAAGAAATAACTTTTTTTACTCCCAAAGCACAGTATTTCAACAGCAGCAGCCAACATGGGGTTTTAGCAGCTTAACTTTACCCCCTAAATAAAGCTTTGTATAAACCAGTGATTTTACTACAAAAACACTGTCCTTGAAAGAAAGGAGTAGCAATCTGACGTCAATGCAAAACTTGGAATGATTAGGTCATAAACATGGCACTTACAAAAGGTAGCTTATGAGAACATTCCACTTAAGAAGTGGTTACTTTTCTGTCCCTCCTTTACACCGTCAAAAAAAAAGAAAGAAAACACTTCCTTTAAAAATTCCCCTTAAATTTAAGTCTATAAAATTCAGAAATGCCTTGTACCCAAAACAAGTGCTTAAAAAAAAAAAAAAACTGTGCTAACAACCCTTACAATTCAGATACACACACACACACACACACACACGTGTGTGTGTGTGTGCATATTTTTTGTAACATCTAAGATCGCAAGAGTTCTCATATTCAGTAGCTCTCTGGTTTAAGACGACCTCCATCTCCTTCACTTACAAAACGTTTTCTGCCCCTGCAATGCAAAGAAAAAACATGAAAACAGATACAAATTCTGACTACAGTCAATTTAAACAACTTTAAACTTGGTATTTCCTAGTTATTCTTTAAGTTTCATAAGGTTTCTTTGTTTAAAAAAAAAAAAAGTCAATATGCCTCTAAATCTTTAAAAGGACTCTTTCCCTAATATATTATTCTAGGATACAGCATATCAAATGAACTGCTAATCTGAGTTTTTAGTTGAAAAGCTTAATTATTGAAATAAATTCATTGTTCAGAGGCAGTCATGTTTAAAAAGTTAAAATATAAATAAGGCAAACATGCTATTTAGAAATTTGGTATTTATTTCTACTATGTAATTAATACATTATTTGAAAGCTAAACAGTAAGCCAAATAGAAAACATATAATCTGGAACCATGCAAACTAGAGCTATGCAATCTACCAAAAATACCCACGTTTAAATTTTTTTTTTTTTCAGATGTAGAAAATTTATAACCTGAATATGGAAAACTAAATCAGAATCAAATTAATTCCAGTCTATGCCCCATTTTAGGACTCATGTTATTTCAAACTCAAATGGCCCTGCTGTATACTGTAACCACATTCTAGCTACATATAGTAGCAACATCCCAGGAGAAATAATTTACCAGCAGCCTAAAGCAGTAAGCATAAAACATAGCTTAAGCAGAAACTCTTATTTTCTGACCCCCTAGTCCAACAAGCAAAGGCACTTGAGACCACAAACAAATGTGCACACTTTAGGAACTAAACCAGCAAAAGGAGAGAGGATAAAAAGTCAAAGTTCTATGGTATGGGACACATAAAAAGTTTAGGTTATCTCCTCAAATGATACTTGAGAGTCAAGCAGTGATAGAAATAATGAGTTAAGACTTTTGAACAGAAGCTGAAGTGGTTACTTTTAAAAAGCCAGTGCCAGGGTCTTGACCTCTTTTCATATTAAGTCTTACTGGAAACCAGCTATGGGGAACACAGCAGTAAGTAGCAGAAATCTTGCCAAAGTTCACAGTTCTACTGATATGTATACCACTTAGCACATCAGTACATAAAGGGCACCATTCCCCAAGTAGAGATCTACATTTTCAAACATTTTTATGAAAGCCAATAAATTGTCCACTGGTATCTTTTCCATCTCTCATAATGGCTTCTATTTTCTCTAGAACAAAGGACACTACCTGGAAGTATTTTTTTGAGATTTAACAGTCACAATTTTTAAATTAAAAATACACAAAGCTTAGAAATTTGATAAAATTGTAAAAACTTAAAATGCACATAAACCAGACCCACATAAGATTAGCTATTACTATAGTTAGATCCTAGTATTACAAATATAAAGTAAGATCCAATTAGCCTCAATTCTCCATTCTATAAAGGAGCGAAAGGAAGCAACATAGAGTACAGGAATGACCCTAGATCTCTGAAGCCAGAAAAATCTGGATTTATCGATGACTTGGCCTTGACCATGTGTGACCTTAGAAAAGGTACATTACACTTCCCTAAGCCTAAATGTTCTCATCTTTTTTATAATATCTACACTGAAATAATATTTAAACTACTTAGAACAGATCCTGGTACACAGAACTCAACAAAATTAGTTTCCTTCCAGTGGCTTTATGAGGTTCAGATTCACAAGGGGACAAAATAAATTCACCCTTGTTTCTCCATAAACACAAAATAGATGACTTTCACTCTTGAGTGGCTCCAGGGAAAATAGCATTATTTTTCTAACAAACTGGAATGACAGAAAATTAGTTTAGCCTTTCCAAGCACCTCAGCCAGTATTTTAGGTTGAGAAAGTAATAAAGTACCTTGAAGGACAAAGATCTCTTAGTTGTTTGGAAATTATTCCAGCCTGAAAACATTCTTCTACAAATCTCTCCAGCACAGAGTATGAATATGGGACATCCAGATTAATGTCCGGAATTTCATTATAAATTCTCTCATAACCCTAGAACAATGAAATTGTACACAGAACTGTTAGCCCATATGAAATACATGCCATACAACTCATCACTGTCATCAAGCTATATTTAAGGCCAAATGTTCATATAACAAGACTAAAGTCAGGTCTGAACCTTGATAAGTACGGATAATAGGTACATTTGTTATAGGATGTTTTATTTAAAACTGTTCTCTCAAAAGATCTTCAGGCAGACATCAGACACTGGACATATTTCTTCCCCATCTACTTCTCTATGTACAGGGGTGGGCAAAAGTAGGCTTATAGTTATAACACAACACAATAATACAGAATACACTTTCATGTACTCAGAACTGTAAACCTACTTTTGCCCACCCCTGTACATTTACATTTTTTAAAAAAGAAAAGAACTTCCAACATTTCAATAGCAATGCATACAATTTTAAATAGGAATAAATTAAGTACTTTTAAGTCTAATTTGCTAAATGAAATGTTCATGTTTCTCTCTAGATATAAAATAGAAATTATTTTATCTTAGAAACAACTCCTGAGGAAGAACACACATCTTTTTTTTTTTTTTAATCCTCACTTGAGGACACCTTTCCATTTTTTGTTCAGATAGAGTGGGAGGGAGAGAGAGGAAGAGAGAGAGAGAGAGAGAGAGAAACATCGACGTGAAAGGGACACATCAAGTAGCTGCCACCCGGACGACCAACCAGAGCCGCGGACAAACTGCAACAGAGGTATGTGCCCTTAGTGGGAACCGAACCCGGGTCTCTCTGGACCATAGGCCAACGCTCTAACCACTGAACCATACTGGCCAGGGCTCTTTTTTTTCGGTACATGCCCCTAGCGGGAACCAAACCCAGGACTCTGGTCCACAGGCCAACGCTCCAACCGCTGAGCCAAACCAGCCAGGGCCACAATTACATTTTTTAAAATGCAGGTTAAAAAACTGATTGAGCCCTGGCCGGTTTGGCTCAGTGGTTAGAGCGTCGGCCTGCGGTCCGGAGAGATCTGGGTTCAGTTCCCGCTAAGGGCATGTACTTCGGTTGCAGTTTGTCCCCGGCCCTGGTTGGTCGTGCGGGTGGCAGCCACTCGATGTGTCCCTTCACGTCGATGTTTCTGTCTCTCTCTCTCCCTTCTTCTTTCTCCCTCCCACTCTATCTGTACAAAAAATGGAAAAATATCCTCAGGTGAGGATTAAAAAAAAAAAAAAAAACTGACTGAAGCCCTGGTTGGTTTGGCTCAGCAGTTAGAGTGTTGGCCCAAGGACCCAAGAGTCTCAGGTTCAATTCTGGTCAGGAGCACATACCTCGGTTGCAATTCAGTCCCTGGCCCTGGTCAAGGTCGGGCTGGAGGCAACCAACTGATATGTTGCTCTCACAATGATGTTTCTCTCTCTCTCTCTCTCTCTCTCTCTCTCTCTCTCTCTCTCTCCCCCTTCCCTCCCTCCCTCCCTCCTTCCCACTCTGTCTGAAAATGGAAAAATATCCTCGGGTGAGGATTTAAAAAAAAACAAAAACGATTGAAGTGTTGTTACTTTTCAAGAAATAGCTGCAAGAGATTCAAACATAAACTCTGCCATTTTAAAAAAGAAAAACTATAGACACACACATTACTACTAAACATATCTAAACATTAACAATTCATATCTTTATTTAATCATTACATATTTAAAGTATAAGCCTAAAAAGTATCCAAAATAATGTTATACTTACTCTTTTCATTTGGTCTAAAGTAATGGTAGAAGATTTCCAAAGGGATTTTAATAAATCCAAAATCATTTTAAATGTACTTTCTCCAGTTGACTCCAAAACCATTACAATGGCCTAAAAATTGAATGAATGTATGAATGTATTGTGATCAATTCATGTAAGAAACTGCTCCTAAAATGTTATCAGATCCCTTTTCTCTAATATATAACCATAATAACCACTATAAAAAATGTAAAAACAACTTTCTCCATTAACATTTTTTTAATCCTCACCCAAGTATATGCTTTTTGTTGATTTTTTTAAAAGAAAAAGATATATGTCATTAAAGAAGCATTATGTCACTGTAGTCCAAAAAGAATACCATAGCCTTAGCCAGTGTGGCTCAGTTGACTGAAACATCATCCTGTGTATCAGAAAGTCTTGAGTTCGTTTACTGGTCAGGGCACATACCTAGGTTGTGGGTTCTATCCCCAGCCAGAGTGCATGTGGGAAGCAACCGATCTGTCTCTCAAAGTGATGTTTCTCTTTCTCTCCCTCCCTCCCTCTCTAAACTCAATTTTTAAAAAAAGGAACACAATAATCATCTTTGGGATGTCAAAGTAACCTTACTTCATATACAAGCTCATGGTGAAAATGAGGTACTTCCAGTTCCTTAAGGCAATGTTCAGCTTCAGATATGTCTCCAGAGAGTAAATACTCTTTCAGCAGCATATCAATCTATTAAATTGAAAAATTGAGATGTGTTAGAATTTGATTTTTGAAAAAATTGTGCTTTGCCTCAAAGATTTACTTACCCTCATCTCAATGTATTACATGACAGAATCACAGGTTACAAACAGCTGTCTAAAAACTTATATCCTTGATATGACACTATCATAACAAAATTTTTTCATGCTTAAAAAGTAAATCTCCAATTTTTAAATGGTTCATAATTATGAAGAAAATGAAGTGATTCAGGCCACAGTCTTCGCGGAGAGTCGCCGTGGTTTCCTGCTTGAACAGTGCTTGGACGGAACCCGGCGCTCGACTCATCCCCCTCAGCCACCTGATCCAGCCTTCGGCCACCTCCTCACAGCACCTCGGACATCCCCAAGGCCCCGCTCCAGCGCCGCGCAGCTGCCTCTCCTTAGCCGCCCACCATGACATCCACCGCATCCACCTCGCAGGTGCGCCAGAACTACCATCAGGACTCAGAGGCCGCCATCAACCGCCAGATCAACCTGGAGCTCTACGCTTCCTACGCCTACCTGTCCATGTCTAACTACTTTGACCGCGATGATGTGGCTTTGAAGAACTTTGCCAAATATTTTCTTCACCAATCTCATGAAGAGAGGGAACATGCTGAGAAACTGATGAAGCTACAGAACCAACGAGGAGGCCGAATCTTCCTCCAGGATATCAAGAAACCAGACCATGACAACTGGGAGACTGGGCTGAATGCTATGGAGTGTGCATTGTACTTGGAAAAAAATGTGTATCAGTCACTACTGGACTTGCACAAACTGGCCACTGACAAAAATGACACTCACTTGTATGACTTCCTTGAAACTCACCACCTGAATGAGCAGGTGAAATCCATCAAAGAACTGGGTGACCATGTAACCAACTTGCGCAGATTGGGGGCCCCTGAAACTGGCCTGGCTGAGTATCTCTTTGACAAGCACACCCTGGGAGACAGTGATGAGAGCTAAGCCTTAGGCTGGCTTCCCATAGCCAGGGGGGTGACTTCCCTGGTCACCAAAGCAGTACGTGCATGTTGGAGTTACCTTGACCTTTTCTATAACTTGTACCAAATCATCCACTTACATCTTTTCATTTGTACCATTCCTTCAAATAAGGTAATTTGGTACCCCAAAAAAGAAAAAAAAAAAAATGAAGTGATTCAGTGTGTCTTAATAATCACTGAGATTTACAAGTAGACTTAAGATGTACACGGCCTGAGTTGTGACCATAATTCTTTAAGGCTCCCTGTAAAACAAGGGATCTTAAATACCACTAGAGGGCACTAACTGAAAGTCTCAAAATGAATATTTATAGTGGCACAAACCCTGGCTTTCATCAAGATGACCTTAATATTGCACTGGGAGCCAAAAAATAAAGTATCAAGGCTTTACTAAACAGGGTAAAGATTTCCATATACTTTTCTCTACAACTGAAGATTTGAAGCCCAGCATCTAAAACGATGATCAGTAATTCAGCTTCCCATTATATATACAGCTAAAGAGGCAAAATCTCATCTTTCCTATTAAAATTTATACAATAGCCCTGGCCAGTTTGGGTCAGCGGTTAGAGCGTTAGCCCACGGACCACAGAGTCCTAGGTTTGGTTCCCGCTAAGGGCACATACCTTGGTTGCAGTTTGTCCCCGGCCCCCATTGGGGTCGTGTGGGTGGCAACCAATAGATATATCTCTCTCTCTTCCCCCCCCCCTCTGCCACTCCCGCTCTACCTGAAGATGAATGTAGAAATGTCCTCGAGTGAGGATAAAATAAAATAAATTTCTACAATAACATCTATGGCCCCAGAGAAAATGGCGAAAAGCCCCTGGCTGGTTTGACTAAGCGGTTAGAGCATCGAACCATGGACCAAAGAGTCCCGGGTTTGGTTCTTGCTACAGCCACATACCTCAGTTGCAGTTCATCCCTGGCCCCAGTTGGGGTCGTAAGCGTGGCAACCAGTTGATGTCTGTCTCTCACATCGATGTTTCTCTCTCTCCCTCCCTCTCTCCCTCCCACTCTATCTGAAGATAAATACAAAACTGTCCTCGGGTGAGGATAAAAAAGAAAATGGCAAAAAGTTTTTCAGTAATGAGAATGTCAACTAGGAATGTTATTCCCTATTACATTACCTGTTAAAATCAACTTTGCACCTAGTAGATTCTCGATGCTGGCTAACTGAAAAAAAAAATCTCATGTGTCTCTACTTCATATTTCATATTTCTACAAAGCATTTCATAAAAGGTAAAATAAAATTTGATTAACAGTACATCCTGATAATTCCTATTATGCTTTGAAAAGTAAACCTTTAAAACATGTCATTTGAATAACATTTTCACTCTATACTTAATATTTATTATTTAAATTATATTACTTAGTTTTTTAACTCTGTTATATAACAATGTATTTAAATGTTTTCCATCAGGTTCCATGCATTTTTGAAACTGATGAATTATGACTACATGTATACATTTCTAAAAGTCCTCTTTGTCCAACTCACCCTTCCATGTAAAAGTAAATGAAGATCCAAATAATGTCAAAATGAAATACTGGGTAGTTTTACTTCAATTTTTATCTTTTTTTTTTTTTTATCCTCACCCGAGGACATTTTTCCATTTTTTACTCAGATAGAGCGGGAAGGAGAGAGAGGAAGAGAGAGAAACATCGACGTGAAAGGGACACATTGAGTAGCCGCCACCCACACGAACCAACCAGGGCCGGGGACAAACCGCAGCCAAGGTACATGCCCTTAGCGGGAACCGAACCCGGGTCTCTGCGGACCGCAGGCTGGCGCTCTAACCACTGAGCCAAACCGGCCAGGGCTTCAATTTTTATCTTGACTGAGGTTTTTTTGTCCAGATAATTTACATACATAAAATAGTTTGGGAGCATCTCCAAATAATAATTTTGGGCCCTAGCCGGTTTGGCTTGGCAGTTGGAGCGTCGGCCCGCAGACCAGAGAGACCCACGTTCGGTTCCCACTAAGGGCATGTGCCTCGGCTGCGGTTTGTTCCTGGCCCCGGCTGGGGTTGTATGGGTGGCAACCACTCAACGTCTCCCTTTCACGTCGATGTTTCTCTCTCTCTCTCTTCCTCCCTCTCTCCCTCCAGCTCCATCTGAAGATAAATGCAAAAATGTCCTCAGGTGAGAATTTAAAAAATATATAAATTAATTTGGGGGAGTACAGATATTTCTCAACTTACGATGGTGTTATGTTCCAATCAGCACATTGTAAGTCAGAAATACATTTAATACACCTAACCTACTGAACATCATAGCTTAGCCTAGCCTACCTTAAATGTGCTCAGAACAACTTACATTAGCCTACAATTAGGCAAAAATCATCTCACTTCCACTGCCCAGCATCACAAGAAGGTATTATACTGCACATATCTCTAGCCCAGGAAAAAAAATCAAAATTCAAAGTAACTTCTACAGAATATATATAGCTTGCACATCATCAAGTCAAACCATCTTAAATTGGGGAAATATATTACCATCTTAACAATATTAAGCCTTCTAATCCATTAATATGGATACCTTTCTACTTATTTAGGTCTTCTTTCATTTGTTTCAACAATGTTTTACAGTTTTCAGTGTATAAAACACTTTTAAGTTTATTCCTATTTTCATCTTTTTTATGCTATTGTAATTATTTTCTTACTTTCATTTCATATCATTCATTGTTAGTGTGCAGAACTAAATTGAATTTTGTATATTGATTTTATATCCTATACCTTGCTGAATTCACTTATTAGTTAATAGTTTGGCTTTTTGCTTTTCTTTTTTTGTGGATTTGGTTTTCCTTATACAAATCACGTCAGCTGGAACTAGAGATTTTTACTTCCTTTATAATCTAGGTATCTTTTATTTCATTTTCTTGCCAAACTGCCCTAGTATCTTGGCTGTTTTTATACCTCAATTTGTTCTAATAATTTTTTAATTAAAAAGATATTGCAATCATGATATTATGAACACCAACCAATCTATCTTCACACAAAAGCAAAAATGGTTAAAGCTCTAAATTTTAAGTTCGTTAGCACTCAAGGTATACATATCATTAAGACATTAAGTATCAAAACTATAGTCACAAATAAAGATTATGCTCTAAAATTAGAAGCAAATGAACTATAAATCTTCTAATTTTCTTAAAAGCCTGCAAATAAGATTAAATTTTTTTGTTTCTTGACATAGAACATCATTTTACTGCCAGGAAAAAAATAATCCAAAAACTAAATATGGCATTTTAATGTAATATATTAATTACTTTTTCTTCATTTAAGTATGGTTTTACTGATGATTTAAAGAAAGAGGGGGAGAGAGAAAGAGAGAGAGAGAAACATCAATGTGAGAAATGTCAATCGGCTGCCTCCTGCACACCCCTCACTGGGGAATCGAGCCCGCAACCCAAGTATGTGCTCTGGGAATTGAACCAGGATCTCTCAGTCCATGGGATGATGCTCAGTCCACTGAGCCACACCAGCTGGGCAATTACTTTTTCTTTAAAGCATGCATACAGGTGGTGAACCTCCTTACAAAATATTACCATGTTGATCGACTCTCATGTTCATAATTCATCATTTATAACCTGAGACTATCCAGCTTCAAATTGCTCACACAAATATGGATATTTATTGGTAACTACAAAGTCTTCTTTCAACAATATTCGAGAAATTTTAAATACCAATATAAGAAAAAGAATTCATGCATACCTTTGAAGTTCATATACAGCTTTCCTTAATCATAAAAGCTCTTTAACAGTTTTATTTATTTATTTTTTTATCCTCACCCAAGGACATTTTTTGGTATTTTGTTCAGATAGAGTGGGAGGGAGAGAAAGAAACATCGACGTGAAAGGGACACATCGAGTGGTCACCACCCACACAACCCAATCAGGGCTGGGGACAAACTGCAACCGTGGTACGCGTCCTTAGTGGAACCGAACCCGGGTCTCTCCAGACCGCAGGCCAACGCTCTAAGCGCTGAGCCAAACCGGCCAGGGCAACAGTTTTATTTTTAAGTCAAGGAAAACCATACAAATTTAATAACAATTATATAATTATTGGATAACTTATAGCAAAAAAGTATAAAGCCCAATATACAAGGATTATTCAAGTTTCCACTTACAGCTATAAGACTGAACTTAATTTTTGTCCAAAAAATTACTAGAGGGCATAGTTTATTTCCCTAGAGGAATACATATAAATTAAGTTAAAGATAATAACCAATAGTTACCTCTTTAACAAGATGATTAACAGACTTCTGCCCACCTCCAGAGCCCCACACGCTATCTTTGCGCTTTCCAACTTTAGACATACTCAGGAGCACAGTAGCCTTGTCCAGAGCAGCCCTACCAAAAAAAAATTAATTTAATTTTGACATTTGGACATGCTACAGATTGACTAAGTCATAGACAACGTTAAAAAAATCACCACCACCACCATAAAATTCAAGTCTTTTAAAACACTTTTTAAAAATAAAAAGCTGGGAGAGCAAAATTAAAAGTTGCTTCTCATGTTAATATTCTTATACTCTATTATTTTCATTTCTCAGGCAACAAAAACCTATTGTTATTACAAAATACTTATTTTACTAAATTTTACTTTGATCCATGCCTTTCCCACCAGAGCAACCATTCCACTATGACCTGAAGTAGTCCTAGAAAATTAACATCTACACCTAAGAAAACCTAAGACATGGCTAAGTCCACATCTAATTTGAACATAGTTTTAAAAAATCATATAGCATTAACTCCCAAATATCACATTTAGCTTATAATTATACCAAAGAACAAGAATGAAAAACATTATTTAAGATTTCTATAACAAATATAAAATTGAAAGGGGACTTTGTTATAATATTGTCCATCTTATTATAGATTAAATAATTACAGAATGTTAAAACCTGAAGGGACCTTAGAGATCACTCTAAATTCAATCCTTTCATTTTATAAACAAGGAAACTGAGGCCCAGGAAGAGTGGCTTGACAAGAAGATGGCTAATGGTTTAGCTATAACCCAGAACTTCTGTATTACAATACTGTTCTCTTCCTATTATATCAGGCCAACAATCTCTCAATTTTAACAGTAGAGAATACAAACAAATGACAAATAGATATCCACACTGTCTGATTAAGTTATGTGTCATTTTGATAGAATCCTGTAGAATTTCCCCCCCGTTTTGAAATTCTGAGTAGGAAAATTAATTTACTTACCTGGCTTGTACACAATCTACAGTTCCTTTGTAACTATCAATATAGGTATTACATAAAATTCCATCTCCAACAGCTCTAGCAATAAACTGGCCCACCAACTACAATAAGAAAAAAGCAAGCTATATAAGAAAATCTAAAATAAACCTTCATAGGATATAATTTCTAAATACATAAATGATGAATGGTTGAACTACATAGTCAATACCTAAAACAGACTGGAATATTTTAAAATAATCTATTCAGCACCTACTAATTATGCTTGGCACACACTCCCACATCTTAACCTTCAAGTGACATGGTGGGGAACACATCTGTTTTGCTCAGTACTGAATCCCCAACCCTTACCTTGCACAATGCCTAAAACAGAGTATGTGGTCAAAAACACTTGTAAGTCAGTGACTTAAAGAGAAACCTCTTCTCTGGAAAAAAATTAATGGGACTAGGTTTATCAAAAAACTGATTAAAGAAATTTATCTTATGGTGAAAAGTTATATAGAAATATCTGAAAGTATATTCATAACATTATTTCTTATAAAAACTGGAAAGAACTTTAGTGTCCAACAATAAAGGTACGGTTAAATGGTGCATATAGCCCTGGCCGATTTGGCTCAGCGGTTAGAGCATCAGCCTGCGGTCCAGAGAGACCTGGGTTCGGTTCCCACTAAGGGCATGTACCTCGGTTGCAGTTTGTCCCGGCCCTGGTTGGTCATGCGGGTGGCAGCCACTCGATGTTTCCCTTTCACGTTGATGTTTCTCTCTCTCTCTTTCTTCCTCTCTCTCCCTCCCACTCTACCTGAACAGAAAAAAAAGAAAGGGAAAAAAATGTCCTCGGGTGAGGATTAAAAAAAAAAAAATGGTGCATATATAAGATGGCACTTAGGAATTAGCCTACCTATGCTCTATTCCTAACGTTTAAGTAAAGTACTCCTACCTTGATTTAAAATTTTGGTCAAGGAACTAGAAACAATTCACACATTTTTTATGTCAAATCAGAAAGTCATATTATAAGGTCAGCATGTATTAAGTCTAATAAAAGTATAAGGCTTTGAGAACAGAAACCTAAACAGAAGCATAAAACCATACATTTTCTAATTATTTCCCCACAAAGCTACAAAAGGGAACAGTCTTACTTATGATTACTTTTATAAATAAAGATTCGTTGAGCAAATTCAATCCTCAATAATAACAATCTAGATTTTTTAAAGATCCCAGCTCATAAAACAGCTTACTTCATATATTGAGAGTTTATAGACAGGGGAAAAAAAGTATTACCTAAAAACTATCAGAGCATTATGGGGAAAGTAAGATATAGAATTATAGTATGATGAAAACTATGTTGAAGGGGGAGCTCAGGGAAAATAACACTGAAATGTTAGAGGGCTATCTTTGTGTGATAGGAAATATGGGTCGTAGTTTCCTCTTTCATCTAATAAAATATCCTAGGAATATATATTATTTCTATAATTGGAAGGGTAGTAGGGGAAGAGAATGAACAAGAAAAATCATACAAACCTGTGGTGCTCTAGGAGTATCCAATGCTAATTCAGGTAGATCTTTCAACAATTTATCAAATGATTTTTCTACATCATTTGTGCTCATTACTGTTCCACAAAGGTCAGAAAGAAGCTTAGATGTCATTTCTCTATGACTAGCCTTTCCCTCCAATGCCAAGGACACTGCCAACACTGGTACTCCACTTTTCATTTCACCAAGATTTAAATCTCTTAGCATTTCCTATTATAAAAAAAAGTATTTTATTTTTTGAAAATTCATGATTATTTATGTCCTTACCACCTCTCCCCATTTGGAAAAAATCAGAGAAGCAGTCCTATTTTGAGGGATAGGATAAATATATCTTACTCCAATGTAAACTGCATATTGACCCACTTTGTCAAGCTTTAATTGTCTGAACATCGCTGAACACAAGAATGTGAATTACAGCCTTGGCCAGGTAGTTCAGTTGGTTAGAGCCTCGTCCTGATACACCAGGGCTGCAGGTTTGATACCATGTCAGGGCACATACAAGAATCAACCAGTAAGTGCTTAAGTGGAACAACAAATCAAGGCTTTTCTCTTCCTTCCTCTCTAAAAATCAATCAATTTAAAAAAATATAAATTACACCTAAAATAGTTTATTAAACCACGTAACCTTGCTAAGTTTGGTGTTAGGAGTTAACTAATCCTCTGCCTTATAATCTATTCACATTATTTCTAGGAATACTGCTATATAAGCATTTATAAGAAATTCATTTTACATTATCATAGCTATTTATACTCTACTTTTCTTCAAAGTTTTCTCTTCACACAAAAATTTACTTTATACTGTCATGTCAAGTTTAAAATGAGATCTTAAACCATTGTTTTTAAGTGGGATTATTGTTTTAAATGTTGGAATAAAGTCAAAATTTTCTATTAAAAATATTGCCCTGACCTGGCCAGTGTAGCTCACTAGTTGAGCATCCACCCATGCACCAAGAGGTTGCCGGTTCGATTCCCAGTCAGGGCACGTGCAGGAGGTGGCCAATGTTCTCTCTCATTGATGTTTTATCTCCCTCTCCCTTCCTCTCTCTCTCTAAAATCAATAAAGAAAAAATATTTAAAAATATATGTATATTGCCCTGGCTGGTTTTGCTCAGTGGTTATAACATTGGGCCCTGGACTGACGGATCTTGGGATTCACTCAAAAACACATGCTTGGGTTGCAGGTTCAATCTCGGCCCCAGTCAGGATTGTGAGGGAGGCAACCAGTCGATGTCTCTCTCTCACATCAATGTTTCTCTCTCTACCCCCCCTCCACTCTCTCTAAAACTCAATGGAAATTAACAACAGAATTAACAACAAAAATATATACGTATAATAGCAGCTAATACTTATTGACTATTTATAATATATCAGTCATTATAATAGCCACTTTATTTTATATTATCTTATTTAATACTCAACCCTTTGAAGGGATATATTATCACCATACGCATCATAAACAAAGCACAGAAAAATTAAGTATTTGCTGAAGGCACACAGCTGGAATAAACAAGTTGGAAATGGAATGTAGTCATTTTGACCCTAGAGGCTAAATTCTGTTACTTAGGTACTAGAGTACCTTCCTTTTTACTTTAAGTTTTCTCAGAATATTTAAATCATGGTATATTACTAAAGGAGTGCCAGTACTATTTTCACAAGCCCTAAATGGTGTCCTTGTTAACTGTCTCTTCCCACTCCATCTTTCTCCACTGCACCTGAACAGCTAAACCATTGCTTTTAAACATGATACTCCTCCTTCCTTAAAAACTCTCTCCAACCATCTTACCATGGCAAATTCTAACCATCCTTAGAGGGCTCAGAATCATCTTTTTTATTACTCTCCATTTTATGCTACCGTAACACTCTGCTCATAGTACTACTCAGTTAATGAACACATAGCATACTATGGGTCCCATGCTAGGTAGATAAGAGGTTTTCAACCGCCCCTGCCCTCCTAGGACTTAGTTCAATTTTTCTTCTATGTTTCATAGTATATTTTAATAATATTTTATCATTGTTCTCATTTCACCGAGCTTCAAAGGGGCAAGAATCACCTACTAATTTCTCCACATGGAATGCACTGAACAAGTATTTGTTTCACATTCAAATTCAACAAATCCAAAGATATCAAATCTTCATGGTATCAGACAAACCAAAAAAGCCTAATCTGAATTAAAAGGATCTAAAAAGTCTTCCAAGAGTTGGTTGCAATTTTATTACGTTAAGTCAGTAAAATCCTAATAAGAAAACCATTAATTTTATTTTACCCTTTTACATTTACTTTATGAAAAATTCATAACACAGTAAATGTTCCCATAACAAATTATCAATTTGTTATCTTGGTTTCTGAATACATTTTTTGAAGGTCAAAAAAAATATATACAACTTAGGCAATTTTAACTGAGATGCCAGAAGAGGCTTCAAACGGTCCATAAATACCTTGAAATTGTTAAAATTATATAAACTATCAATTATAAATATCTTATAATTATAAAAGTATTGTGTTCTGTCATTTTTCAGGTAAGGTAATGGCACATAGCTCTCCTCAGATCTCAAATAGGTAAGAATTCATCTAAATTTATGAAATTTTACTCCATTACTTAGTTAGAAATTCATTTATACAAAATTCTTATTCAGCAATCCAAGATCATTCTAGATAGAATGTTTTGCTTTTAACAGTGTTATGTATGAAATAAATTATAATTGCAACTTTAAACCTACTGCAACTTCATTAGTATCTCCATGCTCAAAATATTCCTGTATGATTGGTGTTAAAGTCTTCTCAAATGCTGTTTCATCCAAAGGCAAAACTACAGTTTCATAAACACAGTTCTCCTGAGGAGGGAAGGAGGAGAGTTATAAATTAAAGAACAAAATATTCAGATAAACTGAAACTGTTTTATAATTCTATATTCCAACTGATAAGTGATCCCAATTCTGGAAGATAGGACATGCTTTCATTACTTATAGAATCTGTCACTGTTCCTTTACAAAATCTAAATATAATAAATCAATTAGCACCACTAACCACAGTAAATATGACTTGCTTCCCAACCTCCCCAGTATCTTCTGTTAATTCTTGATACCTCTCACAAAAGAAATCCTTCCGTGACCAGAAAGTTTTAAGATGGCTTCTGATCATACCTAGTGTTTTGGAACCAAAGCTTTCATGATTAGTATTACCATAATAAAAGTCCCTATAACAAAAATCTATGTAGTAGTGACAAATAATTCTCTAAGGGAAAGCACTATTAGAAATTTCAAAAAGAAGTATCCCTCTTCTATGCAAAAATCCCTGAAATGTTTACATGCAATTTGTGACTAGCTTCCGTTTAACAACATTAATTTGAAAAATTACATTTTAAAACTAGAATATTTCGCAAAATTTCTACAGTACTTTGAATCCTACTGGTTTTAAAATATATTTTTCATGTTCTCTTAGAAATACTTCTATATCCAACTGTTAGTTAAAATGGGTAAGTACATACATATAAATACACAATAAAAACAATCTAACATATACCTTATAATTTCCTGTCAAAAATTTCATCACCACATCTTATCTTATACAAAAGATAGTACTATATCCAGATCTGTGGAGGTTGAGGAGGAGGAACATGCACAACCGGAATAGTAAATGGAGGTACAGGATGAAAAAAAGCTTGGCCATGAGTTATTAATTATTAAAGTTGGTAAAGCTAGGAGATGAGTACAAGCAAATTCATTATACTATTCTTGTATAAGAAATTTTCCATGTCCTAGCCAGTTTGGCTCAGCGGTTAGAGCATCCGCTCATGGACCAATGAATGAGTCACGGGTTCAATTCCAGTCAAGGGCGAGTACCTTGGTTGCAGTTCGTCCCCAGCCTTGGCCTTGGTCTGGTCGTGCGGGAGGCAACCAGTCGATGTCTCTCTCACGCCAATGTTCCCCCACACACACTTCTTACCTCCCACTCTATCTAATGATAAAATAAAAAACTATCCTCAGGTGAGGATTAAAAAAAGAAAAATTTTCCAGTAAAAACATAAATATATGTGAATTCGTTAGAAAATCTATTAAAAATTTATATTCTCAGCATTATATCAAGAAAAAAGATCCACATTTCAAAATGACCAAAGTTATCATCCTAAACAGCAATATTTGAAAGGAGCTTAAAATTTACAAGTCTTTCATGATATTCAAATATATATATATTCTTCTCAATTTTTGTTACCACAGAAACTAAATTAACTCAAAAGACTTTATTGTGCCCTGGCCAGTTTGGCTAAGCAGTTAGAATGTCAGTCTGCAGACCAAAGGGTCTTGGGTTCAATTCCAGTCAAGGGCATATACCTGGGTTGCAGATTCAATCCCTGGTTGGAGTTATGTGGGAGGCAACCAATCCACATGTCTCTCACATCAATGTTTCCTTCTCTCTCTCTCCCCCCCCCCCCTTCCTCCCTTCCATTCTATCTAAAAATCAATGGAAACATATCCTTGGGTGAAGATTAACAAAAAATTAAATAAATAAATAAATAAGTAAATAAATAAAATCACCACAATTTAAAGGGAAAAAAAAGAATTTATTGAAAAATACCCAACTTGATAATCCTAATTTGTAAAGATCTACTTTTGACTCATTTCAGAAACCAAGTGAAAATTATGTATACATTACTGTCAGTTATCTTGCTTTCCTAATCCAAAATTAATCTAACAGTCTGAAGGCACTGAGTTAAATATGACTTGCATTATAATAATGTGTGTGTGTATATATCATTATATATATTCAAAAGTTATATATACACACATTAGTACATATAATCATACATATGACTTGACAGTAACAGACTGTAAATTCAGACACAGAACATATGATTTGACAAATGTATGAGTACACTACAAACATGAGATCAAAAAAGTTTATAAGTATTTAAATATATATGTAAAAAATCAAAAACAATGATACCTGGTCATCATCATAGTTAGGATCTTTCACATCTACCTCCTCCACATCATATACCTGCCCAGGTGTACCCCAAACACCTTTGCCTCCTGCACCACCTAAAAAGTTTTGAATTGAGAAAGCAAAGAGACAAAGTTCATAAATTTTTATTTTAATTAAAATTTGAAATAACTCTAGATGCTCAGATTTTAATTAAAATAACAGCTAAAAAATTATATTTTAATTTTAGGGGTTTTTTATTCCAAGCTGAGAGTTATATTTTAAACCTCTTTTTATTCAGATCACTGCTGTTTTGGTAATGCTTAGATATTTTATAACCAACTTCAAAACATTAAGTTGAAATAGCTTATAAATTAAAACTAAAAAGGCAGCTGCTTTAAAATAAAAGCAAAAAAAAATAGCAACAAAATAGCTATAGTGGGGACCTCAAAGCAGGTGATAGTTAGCTCTAAATTTTTTTTTTGGTGCGTGCCCTTAGCAAGAACCGATCCTGGGACTCTCTGGTCCACAGGCCGATGCTCCAACCACTGAGCCAAACTGGCCAGGGCTAGCTCTAAATTTTATTTGGCATGTGAGACCAAAACAAAAAGAAATTATGTTGAGCCAGTAAGATGTGGCATAGGAAACTCAGTAAGAAATTAATTTACAAAGAAGCAACGTGACCACCATCAAATGTTTTAAAGTCAAATATTCTTTAGATATAAAAGCATATGTTAAACTATACTTTACAACTAGCAGTGTTACAAATAATTACTATTTAAGCATTAACAGCACTGATCATTATTTCTACTTCTATATACAAGCTGACCAGTAGCAGTTTAACAAATGCAACTTTCAAAGTTGCTCTTCTACATAAACTTACTGAAATGTTTTTATAAGACTTACTATAGTAAATTATTTTCAAAGAAGTTTACAGTATCACCAATATTTTTTGGAGGTTTTTATTTTATATCCAGAATATAATCCTTCCCACCAGAGCAAAACAGAATCTGAGAACTAGGTTCCATTTTGATCCAACCAATGGCTACAAAGCTATTCAATAAGAGTAATTACTTTGGACAGGTGACAAAAACATTTTGAAAGAATCCTAGGCTACAAGTTGAAGCTCCCACCATTCAGAAGCTGGTGAAATCACCAAATTGTATCAAAATTCTACCATAGACAAAAGCTAACAGGTCCCTCCATTAACAAATATTTAAGTACAGATACCTACACAGCTAATCATTACTCCTACCACTGGAGATACAGCAGTGACACAGACAATTCCACTCCAGTACCCAAGATAAATGGAGCTAAAGAGAACTCAGAACCAGATCTATGAAATCATTAAGATTCTGAGAAAAATATGTATTACCAAATTCGTATGTATCATGTATTCTTCACAATGGACATAATTTGATTAGACAATAGATATGATGAATTCCTGACCCTATTTCTTTGAAGCCAAGTTAGAGAGTACATGCACAATTCATAACTGTGAAAAACATCAGTGTGTATTTTGCTAGAAATAAAGTTCTCAAAAAATCAATCTATTCAAACAGGAAAAAAGGTTCAACTTAAAGAAAAAGTGGGATGGTCCTCAGTTTAGTACTATGTAAAAAATATATACAAATCACAAAATCTTCTATGTTTTCATTGTTTACATTTTTCTAATTCGTAGAACAAGGAAATTGTAGTACAAGAACCAGACAATATATTTTTTTCCATTTGTGTCTTTGGGATGTGGTATATACCAACCTTTCTTTGGTAGTCCCCGTCCTTTTCCAGATCTGGATCGCCTATCTAGCAACCTTCCCTTTGGACTGGTTGGTACAGTTACTCCACTTCTAAGGGCTTCACTTCCATTATCACTGACTGAATCGCCTCTGCCAGAGTCCCGGGATGAGTTTTTCCGTAATCGCCTTTTTGCCTTGGCATTAATTCTAGCTTCGTTAATGGAGGATGCTGAAATCCAATTTCCATTTATCTCATTCTTTATATCCTCAGTCCCAGCATTTTCTTCATCACCAGAAAAGAGAGAGTCACTTAAGTTATCAGGATCTTAAAGAGGAAAATGAAGAAAGAAAATTCTAAGTAAGTATTTTAACCATCTACTGTTATACCAATTATAGTCGTAAATTATATTAGCTTGAATCACATGAAGTTACCATTTTTGTAGGTCAGTAATGGTCACATGTTGGCAGTTTCATATGGTTCAATTTAATCAATGATAACAATAAGATTACTTTTCACATTATCAAGGCACTGAATTTTAATAAACAAAGTTTACTAAAAGCATGTTATCTCGTGTTTAGATCATACAATCTATCTTAATATAAACACCAAATATAAAACCTTTAGATTTTTGTGAGCTAAGAGAGCTATGCAGTTGGAGATAAAAGACTAAGGATCATGAGAGAAGGAAGATAAAACTAATACGTACAGAATGCCTAATATTATCTATCAGGCACTGTGTTGGCACTTTGTCATGTACCCACAAGTGTGAGAGCTATTTACTACATCATTTATACAGGCAGATAAGGAAATTAAGGCTGAAATTATTTAAATAACTTGCCAAACATTTCATGATTATTACATATACTTAGGAGATATTACTAATCTGACAAGTAAGTGATCACATATGATTAAATCGAACTGCTCATTGCTTTCCAAGATAAAGCTTGCTTTTAAAGCTATCATCTCAGAGTCCTAATTCATCTCTCCAAACCATCCTCTGAAAATCTTCTAGCCTATGTAAGATTTGTACACTATCCCCTAGAAGACAGCAACGTATCTAGAGTTCCCAATGGTCTCCTGTTTAAAATGTCATCTCCCTGCTCTTTTAATTATCAAAATCCTTGGATATAGATCAAGTACTACTTCCTCTGTAAAAACTTTCCTAACAATTATACCCACAATAACACTAATGCTCATATCACTCATTAACTGCATCACCAAAATCACTTTATTTCTTTTTATATAGCAGTCCTGCTTTCCCAAGTAAGTCATACGCCTCAAAAGAGGAACTGTAGCCCTGGCTGGCTTGGCTCAGCAGTTAGAGCCTCGGCCTGCAGACCAACGAGTCATGGATGCGATTTCAGTCAAGGACAGGTACCTCAGTTGCAGCTCAGTCCCCAGCCCTGGGGAGGCAGGAGGCATCCAATCAGTGTGTCTACCTCACTCTCTCTCTCTCTCTCTCTCTCTCTCTCCCTCTCACTTCCTCCCTCCCACTCTTATCTGAAGATTAGTGAAAAAATATCCTCAGGTGAGGATTTACCAAAAAAAAAGAGGAATTGTATTTCTTGGTACCCTAGCAACTAGCAGAGCATCCTTCATACTATCAACTCAAATGTCTGCGCAGATCAAATGACACACTCAGCTTTGGTCTGAAAACTGTAAGTCAGAAAGCTACTATATTAGTTACCCCTGGGACAGAGATTTTTTTGTGTTTTGTTTTATTATTATTTCATTTAGGCTAACTCAAGTCAGAGTTGAATTCCTCAGATGGTTTTAAATATTTCTAAATGTAATCAGGATGATTAAAACCCATGTGCCTGGGCTTTAACATGTTTTAATATGTCAAAACTATATATTTTTTAAATCAACCTTTAAAAAGTATAGATGTGGTAAAATCTTTGTAATTCTTGACAAAACATATAAAATTTAGGAGCATACATCATGGTAATTATAAAACATTAAGTAGCACTAGCCAGTTTGGTTCAGCAGTTGTTGGAGAGTGAGCCTGTGGACCAATGAGTCACAAGTTTGCTGCCGGTCAAAGGCATATACCTCGGTTTCAGTTGGTGCCCAGTCCTGGTCAGGGTCTTGTGGGAGGTAACCAGTCAGTGTGTCTCTCTCACATTGATGTTCCTCTCTCTCTCCCTCTCTCCTTCTCCCTCCCACTCTATCTGCAGATAAACAGAAAAATATCCTCAGATGAGGATTTTAAAAAAAAACACTAAGAAGAGTCAAATTACTTCATTAGTCTCATAAGTATACTCTCCATGCCTTCGGTCCTCAAACCATTCTCTAAACTGCATGGAGACTAATTTTCTAAAACATGCCCTCACTGAAAACCATTTGAAGGTATTCTCATTGGTTCAAAATAAAGTGTAAACTCATTATCTTGTAATTTATGATCTTGCCATTTACATCACCAAAATAACTGCTGACCACTCCACAAATGGTCAGAGCTCAGCGACTTGGTACCATGAGGGGAGGGGTGAATTATGATATGCGAATGTGACCATTACTGACCTACTGACCTAATGGGGGATTAGTTTAGCAGAATACAGAACATAATAGAAAAAAAAGAGAAAGTGTAAAGTGGGAGATCCGCTAAGTAAATGTTGCAGTAATTCAGTCACAAACTAATTGGAAAAAGCAAGGATAGTAACTTTGGGGTAAATAAGAAAGTGATACTTTTAACAAAAAAATACACAAAAGTGAAATGACATCTTAAGAGTTTTTAGAAAAGGAAGCCAAGGTTAGGAGGGTGAGTCTGAAATATCATCATAACCAATGTCATAACTAAACTAGTAGTCATAGCAGTAGTACTGCTTCTTTTGTCATAACCATCACTATTATTACCTACTATAAATATACCCTAGGCACTTTTTACATACATGGTCTATAATCCTCACAAAACTCTATAATGAAGATGCCTATCCTCATTTACAGAAGGAAGATGTTTCATAGAAAAGGTACATATCTAAAACAGATTGTGGTGAGGATTCAAACCTACATGTGAATCTTGGATGACTGCAATTCTAGGAAATATAAGTTAGAGTACAGCTGAGTGGTGATAGCTAAAGAGAGAGGATGAACAAAAGATTAAGAGAAAGGAGAAAGACCAGAGTTCAAATTAGATGGAGTTTCAAGTAAGAATCAGTGGTTAAAGAAAACATTAAACATCTCCCTGTAACATAATTTTTTTCATTATTCTACAATTAAGGTTAACCACTAAACTCATCTGGAAGAGAAAAGACCGAAAGTATAATTAAATGCTTTAAACTGTCCCTTGGAGTACATATAGTACCATACTTAAATGTTCCTTCTTCAACTATTTTAATATCTTTTCAAATACAGGGGTAGGCAAAAGTAGTTTTACAGTTGTAATAAAATAATACAATAATTAATAAATAATAATACAAGAATAAACTCTTGTGTTTCATGTACTCATAACTGTGAATGGCTATCATACCGGGCAGTTCAGAAAAGAAGTAATTACCACGTGAGTATGTGCGTGTGTGTATACACACACAATGGAATATTACTCAGCCATAAAAAAAATAAAATACAGCCCTGGCCGGTTTTGCTCAGTGGTTAGAGCATCAACCCACGGACCAGAGAGTCCCGGGTTTGTTCCCACTAAGGGCACATACATTGGCTGCAGTTTGTCCCTGGTCTCGGTTGAGGTCATGTGGGTGGCAACCAGTCATTGTGTCTCTCTCACATCAACGTTTTTCTCTCTCTCTTCCTCCCTCTCTCCCTCCTGCTCTATCTGAAGACAAATGCAAAAATGTCCTCAGGTGAGGAATAAAAAAAAAATTTAAATATGGCCCTAGCCAGTTTGGCTCAGCAGTTTGAGCATCAGCCTGCAGACCAAAGGGTCATGAGTTCAATTCTGGGTAAGGGCACATACCTGGGTTGCAGATTTGATCCACGGCCCCTATGGGGGTCATGCGGGTAGGCAGCCAATCGATGTCTCTCTCACATCAATGTCTGTTTCTCTGTTTCTCTTTCTCTCTTTCTCTCTCCCTGCCCCCCTCCACTCTATCTAAAAATCAATGAAAAAATATCCTCGGGTGAGTATTAAAATTAAAATATTTTAAAAATGAAATGTTGCCATTTATGACAACATGATCTTGAGAGTATTATGCTAAGTGAAATAAGTTACAAAGTACAAAAACCATATGATTTTGTTCATATGTGGAATATAAAACAAAAATAAACAAAATTCAGATATATACAACAGAATGATGTGGCTACCAGAAGGGAAAGAGAGTCAAATAAACAGAAGGAAATTAAACTTCGGTAAAGAGCACACAAAAAGAAGTGAAATATAAATATATTTAAATTTAAAAAGATAATTACCATTTCAATTATTAATAAAATTATAAAGCAAATAATTATTTAAAATATATCAATAGGAAAAGCTCTCACTGTTGGGAATATTTCAAAATCCTTATTAACTCTCTACAAAGATTATTCTGTAAGCCAGAAATACATTTCAAGTTGTCTGAAGTAACTCATCATTTGGACATCTATTTCAAAAAACTATCTTTATAATAATGTGCTACTAAAGTATGATGGAAAAGAAAGGAAAATACCCTTAAGCAATTTATAAAATATAAATTATTAGTTGGGAAAGATATTGAAGATACCAATAATAATTTGTTACAGGAATCACTAACTAGCTCATGTGAAAATATGAATGAGCAATTCACTATTCTCCATTCTACACAATATAGTTTATTATAAATAGTGTAGAATAAGAATGTATGTAATGTGAAACGATGGGCAAAAAAATAAGGACACGTAATGAATTTATATGAATTTAAGAATCACAAACTTGATTTTAAAAATGAACATTTTCTTGTAGCATGAATAAGATGGTTTTTAAAGTAAAGGCAGTTTTCCTGGCTGGTTTGGCTCAGCGGTTAGAGCGTCGGCCTGCGGTCCTGAGAGACCCGGGTTCGGTTCCCACTAAGGGCGCGTACCTCGGTTGCAGTTTGTCCCCGGCCCTGGTCGGTTGTGCGGGTGGCAGCCACTCGATGTGTTCCTTTCACGTCGATGTTTCTCTCTCTCTCTCTGTTCCTCTCTCTCCCTCCCACTCTACCTGAACAAAAAATGGAAAAATGTCCTCGGAGGAGGATAAAAAAAATAATAATAATAAAGTAAAGGCAGTTTTAATATGTTTTCATAAAATGTGGCCTGAAACTTGCTTATAATATAATCAAGATTCAAAATATTAATACTTACCTGTAGGGTTTACATTCAGTATCTGCTCATTTTCCACATCCATTATTCCTTAATTTCTCTTGCACTGATTAAATTACCAAATGGAAGTCTTCCTTTGGGATCTATTTCTTTAAAAAGAAAAAAAAAAGTTTCAATATCTTCCAAACTGATACAATTAAGGTAAATTCCATTTACTTAATAACACTGTTTTTTTAAAAATCACGTAATTCCATAAAAAAAAAGAGTTCACTTCACTTCAAAGACAGCTTACACTAAATAATATTTGGTTTTTCAATCTTCTTGACAAGTTTATGTGTCAAAAAACAAACCCAAAAACCCATTATTTCTGGGTGTGCCAAATTACTCCATTAACTTGGAATTAAAAGATATTGCTGTAAATGTTTACTTCAAGTTAAATGACTACACACACACACTTCCAATATTTTAGGAATAACAGGCCTCATAATTAATCTGATATAAATCAATATTAGATAGTTTGCTACCAATGAATTATGAGAACTACTACAAAATGCAAACAAGAGTTTTGGTCAATCAGGAGTATCACGTGACTGTGTTGTTTTTCTCTCTACAACATATCTAAAGGCAGAGATATATCTGCCATTCCATCACCTAGATATCTATAATTACTATTATAACAAATTTGAGATGGGGAGACTTTTTTTATTGTTTTCCATAAGAACAGTATTATTTTTATAATCTGAAAAACGCACTTAAAAGTCTTAACCTATTTTTTAAAAGAGTAAGTACAACAGTAGCATCTCAATATTTTAAACCCCGGTTTCAAAATTGCTTAAAAATTACTAATGCTGGAAGGTTTTGATGAAATCAATTACCTTTTATTTAGAAAATTAACTTAAGGGATATAAATTCAATGTTATGTAAATGACTATCCAAATAAATTTTCATGAGAACTGTTGTCAGAAGGTGCAACCAAATAAATTTCAGTATCTGGAAATATTTCTCAAACAGTGGTTTGTAGTACTTAAGTATTTAAAGTCCTTCCAATCATTTACAATAATTTCAATAGCAATGTGCCCTTCCTTTAAGACATAAAACGCACAAATTAATGAAAATGACTACTGAACTACAGAAAAGTGTGTTTTTATCATATAACATAACCAACAAATGTCATTTTAGAATGATATATGATGTCTCCTATAACTCAAAGGTGAAACTGACTTAAATTCTTCAATATATACTATTTTAACATCTTATAAGTTTTATAGCCTTTTCTCCAGAAAAGGGTATTATTTTGTAAAACAAAAACAAACACACTTTTTGTTAAAAGCATAAATTCTTAATATGACATAATCCTTAGGCTACTAAGATGCTATCATGTCGATTCAGAAATTAACAAAATGGTGACATTACTCCAATTCTATTCTGAATAAAGAGGTGTTATTTTATATAAATACCTTTTAATACCATAATTCCCAAACTCTGGATTTAGGAGAAAATATAACCTTAAAAATATATACAAGAGATACAAAAAAATATGCAAACAAAAACAGTTTGCATATCTAAACATTTAGTGTCCTTCGCGGGTGAAAATGCCATTTGTTTCATTTCTGTACATGAATTACACATTAAAGTGAAAATGTCGTATATGTATGAGTTTTTTACACTAGTTACATTAAAGTCTTTTTCATATTTGATGCAAGTATAATCTGAAAATATACTTTCTACATAACAGCTAATAAAGGAAATGAAATAACTGATGTTTCCAAACCACTTTATAATTTAAAAAAATTTTTACATGTATTATTTCATGTACCTCTCAAAACAATCTAAAGACAGGTCCTCCACTTTGCACACAACTAAACAGGTTCTGAGAACGCAGGTGATCTGTCCACAAGAGACAAGGCTCCTCAGTGGAAAAACCAGAGTTAGAACCCAAACCTTCTAAATCCAGCACTGTTTGCACACAGTCAATACCAAATTTTAGTATACTACAGGAAGATTCGTTTTTAGGGTTAAAAGAGAAAAGCTTATTAAAACAAAGATTCCTGTTGTTACAACAAATTTTTAAATATTGTTTTCCAAATGTTAAAAACATTTAAACTATTATACAGAAAACATTAAGTTGGGCAAAGAAAATTATCATGTAATGACTATCATCTATATTGTTCCAAGTTTGTTTTTATTAAGTGCTCATAAAAAATTAAAATTAAAAAAAAAAAAAGCCCTGTGTCTTCAGGCAATGATAATGCAATCAAGAACTCAGTCACACTTGATAGCAACACAGTTATTTGGAGAAGGATAAACATATGTTCCCTGTTTTCAGTCTCTTCAAAGCAGTGGGAGTTCTCCCCCCTCCTACCCATTTTACTTATAAAATTTGCCCCAAATTTAAGAAAATGTAAAGCAAAAAATTTAAACCCCCCATCTTTCACACTAAACTACAAAATTAAGTTTCAATAAAACAAAACTATACATGTTAGACAAAATAAGGCTGAAATTTAACATTGTTCTCATTTCTCTAATGTGTTTCACAGAAACACACTCAGAAGTCAATTGCCAAGACATTCCTTAAAAGATAGAGCCTGGGCCTCTGATCCCCCCCCCCCCGCCCCCAAATCTATTTCCTGAAATATACCTGATAATCCACTCTGACAATTTTTTAAATTCAGTCCATATGTTAACTAGAAATTTATTTGTATTCCTTCCAGGGCTACAATCACAGTTAATTAGCAATTTAAAAGGAAATCAGCTAAGAGAATTTAACCACAATGACGCAAAAGTGAGCACTACAGAAAATATGTCATTTCTTTTTGCACAACTAGCAACTATTTTTATTACTACAACAGAAAAGCCAATCAAAATATAATGCAAAGATGCCTGCTGAGATATTAGGGAATTTAATAAACCTATTGTGAAAAAAGGTGAAGGGCATAAATAGCAATAATTAAATTTACAACACATCGGCAGTAGTTCCTTTTTTAAAAAGTATACAGCGGTTTCCTAAAAAGCCTTCCATTAGCAAAAATGTCAAAATTCTAAAACTCAACAGTGAAAACAGGCGGTGACCGTTTTTTTCCACACGAGGCTGCATTTTTAATTGTTTTAATTATCTGTAGATACCATACTGTTGCTGGCTACTTAGCCAGTTCTCCCAAGGACACGGGGAGACGGGCGATGTTTAACTTCAGCAAACCGTTTTGAAGCTCTTGCAAAAACAAAACAAAACCCGCGCGTGTACGTTGCACCAAATTGATAAATGCAACAAACACCATGCTTTTCACAGAAAGGGGGCTCCCTTCCCGTCTTTGTTTTCTCTGGGAGATTTCATTTAAACTAAAAACAAAAAAGCAAAAAAGCAAAAAAAAAAAAGGACCCCCTGCCTCCGGAGGGGAGAAGCGGCCCGCGGCGGGCACGTGTCCGCCCCCGCCCCCGCCCCCGCGCGCGCGGCCTCTGCAGCGGTCGCCACCTCCCCGCCGCGGGCGCAGGCCCGGACCCCCGCCGCCGCCGGTCCGCACCGGGCCCGGGGGAGGGGCTGGGCAGCGCCCGGGCAGGCCGGCCTCCGCAGAGGGCTCCCAAGGAGGCCGGGGGCGAGGACGCCAGCCACCCTCACAGGAGCTCAGTCAGGCCAGAAACGCGCCCCCAACGCCCACTGCCCGAGACAAAATGAAACCCCGGCCTTCGCGGGGAGCAGGAGGCGCCCCTCTCCGGCCAGCGCCTCGCGCGCCCGGCTACGGGGGATGGGGTCTGGGAGGGGGCGGGCCCGCGCCGCCGCGCTCCGGGCCCAAGTCCAGAAGGAGGGGACCGGGGTGGGCTCCCTACAGCCCCGGGCGTTGGGACAGGCGGTGGGGGCGGCGGCGCTCGGAGGCGGCGGCCGGACCCCGGCCCCGCCGACCCGGACCTGACCAGACCCGGCCAGGGCCTCCACGCCCCCTCCCCCTCCCAACGTGCGGCTGCACCCGAGGGGAGACCGGGGCTGGGGAGAGGGCGCAGTCCTCCCAAGCGTGCGAGCCGCGCCGGTACTGACCCCTCGGGCCGCTGCCACCGCTGCTGCTGCTCGCCAGGTCCTTGGTACGCTGACCTGTCCCTGGTACGCTGACCTGACGCCCGCTCCTCAGCCTCTGCCGCTGCCTCGGAGCGTCTCTGCCCGGTCTCGCTCTGTTTTTGTTTTGTTCTACCCAGTAACACGGGGGCGAGACGCCGGCGTTTATTGGACGAGGCGAGGAGGCCGCCTGGCCAATCGTAGCGGTGGAGCTGGAGCCGTGGAGGAAAAGGGAGGGAAGTGAAACGTGGAAAGCTGGCTAGGGGCGCAGGAGGGCGCATGCGCGTCTGCCTTCCAGAACTTGCTGGAGTGGGAGCGGGGCGAGCAGCTGGAGTGGGGAGAGGTTGGGAGGTGCGGCGAGAGATAGAAGCATGGGTGAAAGAAAGGACAGTGCGTTGGTGTGGGGAACCCGGCTGAGGCTCCCCTGACCTGCTACCCATTTCCTTCACAGGGTAGTCAGCAAACTCAGCTAAAGCAAAGGCTTTGGGCTTCCTGAGGGTCCCTGCCCTCATTTCCGGACACTCCCCTGGGGAATGCCCTTGATCTTTCCAGTTCCTTCTCTGGCTGGCCCCTGCTCAGTCCTGGACTCCTAGGTGTGCAAGCCCCGTGCTAGGGACTTGATCTTAGTGAATGCTCTCCACCATTTCGCAAATGAAGAAACAGACTCAAAAACTCTTGGGCAGGGAGGGGCGGCGGATGAGAGGCAACCATGGTTTCTCTCATACATCAATGTTTCTCTGGCGCTCCCTTCCCCTCCCTCTAAAATCAGTAAAACATATCCTCCAGCTAGAATTAATAAGAAGAAGAAGAAGAAAAATAAAAACCTCTTTCAAGTCCCTCTGCTATTCATGGATAGTCAGGCCAACTAGCATTGAAACTCCCTCCCAATCCCACAGCTGGGTTTTGAAACTCTGAGTACAATTTCTTCTTAAAACTTCTACCTCTTTTACATTTCTTCTTCTTTTTAAAAACTATTTTGAGGAAATTCAGTGCTGTTTATGACCCAGCTATTCCACTTCTGGGAATAATTCAGAAGAAACCCGAAACACAAACTTTCGTGACAGTATGGATGGACCCGGAGAGTATTATGCTAAGTGAAATAAGCCAGGCAGAGAAAGACAAATACCAAATCATTTCACTTATATGTGGAGTCTAATCAACAAAATAAACTAAGAAACAAAATAGAAACAGACTCTTAGATAATGAAAACTCACAGCTGTCAGAAGGGAGGGTGTTGGGGGGCTGCCTGAAAAAAGTGAAAGGATTAAGCAAAAGAAAAACAAAAACAGACAACAATATGGTGATTACCAGAGGAAAAGGGAGTGGGGGGGTGGTAACAGGATAAAGGGGGGTTAAATGGTAATGGAAAGACACAACTGGATGGTGAACACACAATACAATATACAATATGGATGATTATTATAGAAATATACACTTGAGCCCTGGCTGGTTTGGCTCAGCAGTTTGAGCGTGGGCCTAGGGACCAATGAGTCTCGGGTTCGATTCCTATCAAGGGCACGTACCTCAATTGCAGTTTGACCCTGGTCAGGGTCATGCGGGAGACAGCCAGTCGACGTGCCTCTCTCACATCTATGTTTCTCTCTCTCTCGCCACCCCCCTCCCTCCCCAAAATAAAAAGAAATGTACATTTGAAGCCTATATAATTGTATTAACCAATGTCACCCAAAAAAATTTAATTAAAAATAAGACATTTCCACCTCATGTAGCTGTTCTTTGTGTCTTTCCTCCTGGCTTTGGTTCTCTTTCCTTCTCATTCTTCCTTGTTCCCTAAACCCTGGGGTAATGGCCAGAACCTTCTGTTGTTTCTGTGGTCTCAGGAGAGGACTCAGGCACTATCTCCCGCAGGATTTCCTGATTGGTTGGTTGGTGTCTCCAAAACCGAAGTGCTTCCTCTCTCACTAGGTGAGCCCCTTCCCTGACTTACCCCTTCTTCGAAGTCATTGAAGCCTGGGAATCATCTCTGCACATGCACACACACACACACACACACCTTCACTAGCTACCCATTGCTGGCCTGGAACAGTAGTACCCGAGCCAGGAATTCAAGGCCCCTCAGTGTGATTTCAAGACTCTAGCTATATCTCTCCACATGAGTCCCAGTCCATACATCCCCTTGGCTGCAACCCACTTGAACCACTCATTGATCCATATGCTTCCCCACTTCCTGAAGATTCTTTATCACATCGCCTTGAAATGCCTCTCATCTTATCTCCCACCATTGCCTGGTGCAATCAATCCTATCCATGCCTTACCTCCCACATAGGCCTTTTAGAGCCTCAAGACTTGATATGATCTTCCTGTCACCTGATTCCTCACAGTACTGGCTTATTGTACATCTGGGGGCACTGATCACATTCTACCTTTCATTATGTTATCTGAGTCCCTGTCCTAGCCTTTCTCCTGTTAGACTGTCACATTGTTGAGGGCAAGACCTGTGTCTTGCTCATCTATTATTGTTTTAGTGCTCAAGAAGATACCTTGCGTAATTATTTTATTCGTTCAATAAATATACCTTGGTCTGAGTTCACAAAGGTCCTTAGCAGTTGGTGCTCCATCTAATCTCTTGGCAGGGCCCTCCTGGCATGGCCAGAATCCAAATGAGCCTCATGAGTCACTTTTACTTTTTAAAAGCAAAGCTTCCTGTTCACTCCGTTTTGTTTTGGTTTTCAATCATCCGCAGCTGTCTCCATTCCTTTCCCTGCCAGGGCTCAACTGTCCTTCACCGATCAGTGACTGCTGGCTTCTTTGTTTCATCTATCCCTCTCTTTATCCACATTTTTCCTTTTCTCACTCCTTTTCAGGTCCTGACCCTTTCCTTCTTCCTCCTTCCTACCAACCTCCTCTGACCCCTGTTAGGCTGTTTCACTTACTCACTTACTTAACATTTATTAAGCTGTTAAATAAATAGCCAGGCTGCAATGGGCAGGCACCCCAAGAACTATGGAGTCACAAAAGAGTGGGATACAATTAAACAATTTTAAAAGAACCTAAAACCTCTATCTTTTAGCAAATTACCCGCAAAAGAACCCATTATGGAGTAAATGCTCTCTTCCTTTTTACCCATCATCTTAAGGACCACATACAATGCCTGGCATACCAGAACACCACCTTAGGGAATGCTCCGTAGTTGGATGTGATTGACCAGTTTGAACCAGGCAGTTGAGAAATGGGGTTCTAGTCCTAGCTCCCCTACTAAAAACCTAAAATAAGTTGAGCTCCTCTCAGAACCTCTGTTTTTTTACCAGTAAAGTTTAGAGATTGGGTTCAATTAGTAGTTCCCAAGGTATTTCCCAAAGCCCATGGATTTGTGGAGCTTTATCAGCTATCACAAAAAAATATGGGGGAGGGACTGTTCCATAATCAAATCGACTTGGAAAGAAATTGTTTTAACAAAGTTAAAACTGTTTATTTTCCCCCCAACTCTTCTCAGTCTATTTAATAAGCTAATATGCCTTGAGAATCTTGGGGGACCAGAGTAGGAAGCTAAATAATATTAACCACAGAACCTTTATTTTTTTCAAGTACAGATGGCAGCCACTATCACCAACATTCCTCCAGCTGTATTGAACAAGGGTTACCTGCACTTTTGCTAAATATTCAAAAATAATTTAAAAAATAAAATAAAGAGAATAAGCTGGAAAATGGAAAAGCATCCAAGTGTGAAGAATGTTTACCCACCAAATCAATCCACAAATATTTATTGTGTGCCTGTTCTGGGAAAAGATGGAGCTGATCCACCTGTGTTCTTGGCAAAGGTACTGGATTCTACCTTAGGGTAGGTAATGTCTAAAGTATAGAGCTGCCCAGCCTTCTGGGCCACATTTTCATTTCACATTATAATTGCTTACTAACTCTCTGTTTCCTGAAGTCCTGTGCCTAGGGGCTTATGTTAATTTAGTTGCTGGATGAGAGAAAAGGAGAGAGCCCTTTCTCTTAACTCTTTCTATACTCAATGATGGAGTTGTAATTTTCATTTTCCTTTAGAATGACCCATTCCGGTTTAGGAGAGAAAGGGCCACCGCGTTGTCTGGGATGAGACAGCTGTTCAGAGGTGGCAATGGAAACTCTGCTGTGTGATCAGATAGACATACCTAATGTCCTCCCCGTACGCTCTACCCCTCAGGATTAAGCACTACTGAGATGCCTAGAGGGACACAAAGAATGTTTAGTTGTTTCAGTTTGTTAGTGTGTATGTGGGTGAAGGTGGAGGATAGTTTCTAGTTTTTGCCTCTTAAGACAAGTTATTAATTGTGTACCTAGCCAGCTGTGTTGCTTTGGGCATTCCACTTCTGGGTCAACTGAATGTTTCAGTTTCTTACATTGTAGAAGGAGTTGGCCTCAGCAGGAAGTCCTTAAGGAGCCATTTGCGTTCTGACACTCAGATACTGAGAAAGGCACTGAGACAGCACCACCAGAGTCCTTTAGTGGGGGACAAGAGATGAGCAGATGTGCCACTAGAGACTAGGAAGAATTCCACCAGGTGTGGACAGAAGGACCGTCACTCTCAACCCAGGGGCTTTCTCTGAATGCAAAGCTCAGATAATATCACCTCCCTCCATGCCGAAGACAAGAGCAAAGGCTGGTGTAGGATCGGGAGTGCTAATGAGTTAATGCGGGTAAATTACTTGGAAATGCACAGGTGCTAGGCAAAGGATAAGCACCTTAAATTACTATCATTGTCCTTGGAAACCTTCAAGGTCTTTTCAATTCTTTAGGCAAAGTCGTATTTGAGAATGAGTTCATCAGTAAACACTGTTCATGCCCCCTTGAAAACGGTCAAGAAGACGCCATCTCTGGAGACTGAGGGGGGCCTTAGCTCACTTCCTTCCCAAGAATTTTCTGATGCTACTGTCATTCACAGCAATTTCATCTACCTGGGCTGACGTCCTGCCTCCTATTTCTTCAAACCCAGGAGTGAATTTTAGGAATTCCTGTAAGGCACTGAATTTACCTTAAAATAGTAAAGATATGAAACATGCTCTGAAGAAAGAGAGCTGTATAAAGAATCCTAATGACAATGACTGTAGCTGACATCGGTGGTGTGTTTTAAGGCTTCCGGAGCACTTTTACTCCCGCCCGATGAACCAGAG